TCTGTGGGATTGGGATCTGTATATGACTACAGATGAGACAAATATTGCTAAGTATTAAGGGGAGAGAAAAAAAAAAAAAAAAAGACTGCAGAAGAAAAGCAACTCTTTAATTTGAGAAGTTCCATTCCACAGATAATTTTCAAATCAAAATGCTATGAATCCATAGTATGAGAGTTAAATTAAAAAAACATTAAAATATTAGCATCAAATCCTTTACTTTACAGGATGCCTGTAGAACACTTCCTGCTGCATTCCCTCCTTTTAAGGATGCATTTACACCTTTCCATTTTAAGATGACTTCTCTACACTTAGTATTTTAAAATAAAGCTAGACATTTTTATACTTTACCTGCTTACATAAAGGTTAAACCAGATAAACTCAATTTTATTGCTCCATCCACTCCCAGTAAATTCACTACCCAAAAAAACATATTTAAGTAATGTCTTCTTCCACATGGACAGTCAACAACAAAATGAATGGGTACATACAATTTAAGTCTTGGCTTAGAACAGAATTTAAGCTTCACACAAGTGGCTGCAATTCACAAGTATTCAAAATATTTAAGCAAAAGCACACAGAAATCAGGCTCTGAATGCTGTAAACAAACACCCATACAGGGACACAAGTGTAGTTCAATCTTTTATAATAGGCTATGCTAACTTTTCTTTTTGTTTTTAGGGGGCTATTACTATTATTTATATTATCCCTGGTGACATTAACACACTCATAAACTATTTTAGTTTTGCGGTCTGGATATTTTACGGTTTAAGTGTATTTGGACTTATTGTTATGAGGTTTAAAAGAAAAGAACTCAAGAGACCAATCAGGGTAAGTTCAGCATTCAGTATGGCTTTTCTTATGTTTCCATAAATAGCATAAACTAATTGTAGAAGTTTGCATACTTACACAACACCCTGAGGCAGATGCCTCTGCCCCACATGAAATTTAGCCCTTCATTTGTAACTCCTTCAAGTTTTGCACCAGGACAAAGCTGAAAGTCTCCAAAGGTGTCCAAGCAATGTTTATTTTCACACACACAGACTACAGTAGAAGTTCCGTTTCAGACTTTCAGGGACGGGAATCTACAGTCAGCAGACACAAAGACAGGTTCAGAGTTCACTCTATTGGAGTAAGGTCACAAATCCATTAAAACACACATGTGAATTACTAGACTGCAATTAGCAATATAAACATATTTTTAAATGACTTCCTCTATCCATATTCTTGCTACTTTAATTGCCAGATCTAGTTCTAGAAATGTTGTAAGGCGATGAAAATCTGCCTCTTGTATGTGCAACTTCTGTAAGAATGGTAAAACAACTCGCTAAGTATTTCTGTGAATATTATTATTATCATTTTTAACTTGCAGATACCTTTGGTCATTCCAGTTATAGTGACATTAATATCCATTTTATTGGTACTGGCACCAATCATCACCGCAGCTGAACTGGCCTATTTGTACTGTGTTTTATTTATACTAAGTGGACTTATATTTTATGTACTTTTCGTTCATTACAAGTTCAAGTGGTCTCAAAAAATATCAGGTAAGCATACCTCCTCAATCGCCATTCAACAGAACATTCTTAAGCTTTACAGTAACTTAAGGTTAAAGTAACTACTCCAACAAAGCTCATTTTATGGTCCACCCCAACTAAATTATATAGTGGAGGGAAGAGAAAGGGAGGCAATTTTCCAGACAGAGAAGTTAGTAAAGCTCACTGCGTGTCACTGAAGAGTGTTTTATCCATTTCTGCAAAAGAAAAGGATGTCCAACCTAAAGCAACAAAGAAACTTAGTTTGCAGCTCTATACATCGCAGTAGTAACGCAAAGAAGCACTTTTTAAATAAGTAGAACTACTTTAGCTGTAACGTTAGCTTTTCAGAAAGTTCCTCCAGTCCATTATTAGAGAGCAGCAAATATTCTTATGCCACACAGCACTTCGCTGTTGGCTCAAGTTATCAGTTTTATTATGCTTACTAAGTACATCAGCATTAAGACCAATATTAATCAGTGCTGTTGAGCAAACTGAAAGCTGCAAGCAGTGTGATCATTTATAAAATGATTTTGCTTAATCTCAAAAGGAACTCTTTAATAATCTCTCAAAATGTGATACGCAGCAATTTCTAAGAGAAAACAGCTGCACAAAGCAGAATTAACAGTTCCATATACAAAAAAAAGTGTTTCCCCATCCTGAGTTACCACCTATTACATAATTATGCAGATAGAAATAGTTCACTCTATAACAAGCAAGTTACCTAGAACACTTTAGCTTGTTTTGATTTCCCACCCCTTAAATTTTAGATATGAAAAGATACACAACAACTTCAAAAAATATATTCAGATTAATACCATTTTTCTTCGTTAAAAATAAGTACTTCTTTTCCTGATAAGGCTTCTAATAATTAATTTCCTTCTCAGAGCCAATCACTATGCACCTTCAGATGCTTTTGGAAGTTGTTCCACCAGAGGAAGTTGCTGAATAAAATATTTTGTGTGAGATGACGTGTTTTTAAGTGCTACATCAGTTGAAGGAGGTTCCATTCAGTTTGGGGCACACTTAAACTTTCTGAATTGCTATGTTCATACTAGTGGGCAGCATTTTTGCAACGCTACTTAGTACGTGAAGTAGATTAAATTTAAGAATAAAAGATTTCTAAGCCAAATTAGTACACAGCAAAGCTTTTTTCATTGTTTGCCAACACGTTAAGCTTGTCTTTCTCTTCTGCGCTAGTGTCACTTAAAATAAGGACTTCTCAATTAAAATGACGGTAAAACTTACCTGTAGCATTTGGTCAGAACCCCTCTCTTCTTCCTGCTGAAAGAACAGATGGGTACAGACAACAGCCGATTTGCAGCAACAGCTACAAAAAGACATACAAAAACAGGAGAGACAAAAGCCAGACTACCTTTAGTTTCTCAGACCAGTGTTTACTGATCACCAAAAAGTCGAAGATTGAGGAAGACATCAATTAAGACTTAATTTCTCAGGAGAGTTTTCTCCTATGCCATCTAAGGAATAGAACACCAAGTAAATGCAACAGAAGCTATCCCTCAGCATGAACATGACTTGACTTAATAGGACTAACTTCACCATTCTAGAAATGCTCCCTTTGGTAGTTGCCAAAGATGAAATTGAAAAAATAGATACCACATCTATATATGTGAGTATGCAGCTTTCAGCTTCTCTGATCAAGAAAGATGGGTTTTTGGTTAATCTCCTTTACTTACTATATACCCTCATAGTAAATAGATAAAGAATTTTCTCAAGTAATTTGTCAATATTTTTAAGTGATTACTTTAAGAAAGACTGTTCAAAATACTGAAAGGTAAGTCCTCAACTTTTAAGTACGCTATTTTAAATAAATAACACAACAATGCTAAACAAATGGCTTGATGAGAGAAGTTCATACTAATGATAACCTAGTGAATTCAACTAAGGAAGCTTTTTCTATCATACAGAAGCTACAAAGAAATTAACAACAATCTTATATTCCTGCATATCTCACTTTGCATTTACCTGCATGGATGAACGACCCCAAAAGTACATATAATGCAATGAGTAACTTGGAGGAGACTTTGTGGTAGTGAAAATATCTCTACATGCAGTCAGGGCAGAACAAACACAAAAAAAAGCTCAAAAATGACCAAGAAAAGCAATGGGTAGCAAAATAAAATTCTCATTCCATTACATATGAAACATATACCAAATACTGTGTTTTGTCCTACTCACACTGCTACTACGGCCTCTCTTAGTTGAGGAAAATATGACTTCAAATGAAAGAACTATAAAGTTTAGAGAAGAATCAAAAATACTTTTTTTTTCTTTTTTTAAATAATGAATGACTCCATCTACTATCATTTTCAAGGCTAAAAAACATACCTGATTGGGGGGTGGAGAGGAAAATGACAACAGAAGCCTTATGTCTTACTTTACAAGGAAGTGGGAAAAGCAAGGTATTTGTTATTATTGCATCTTGAGGGTACAGGACATCAAGACAACAGAGCAGGGATGGCTTCAAAACACAGAAGTATTTAATACTACTGAGCTCCTCAGTGCAGGAGAAACATTAGGAATTGACAGCTCAAGAAACAGCAAGTTCAGAGAGAACCTCATCCTCATGAAAATCCTGATCAGAAATTGCTAGAGGCCAAAATAACATTTCTGGAAATTAATGCTATATTCTTTACATTGTTCTTCATATACTGCCTCTTGGAACCTATTAAGAATGCAGGGCTAAAAGACAGCTGCTGCTTTTACCTGAAGTAGGGTGCCCCACTTTTCAAACAAAGGTTAGATATTATTTACTATGTCGATTAAATAACCATCATATGCTGTATTTAGATATCAGACAAGTCAGACAACATGCACAAAGAAGGAAAACCTCCTGCCTCATCACTATTTCGGTCATTTGACAGTCTCCTCTTCCCATTACAACGCAGTGCAAGACCAAAAATACAGATGCATTAGTTACTAGGTAACTACATTTGAAACTACTGCAGCTTTGCCAGTATCTATCCTGAAGACAGGCAAAGCTTATAAACTAAGCTCAACTGTAGTCAGATTCCCAATGGTATTACAATTTTATAGACTATGTGTTTCTTAAATATTAAGTGCTGCTACCACAACTTATTGACACGCCAGCTTTCCACTCACATCAGAAGTATTGTTAAATATTCAGAAATCTTTGTGATATACAATATACAAATTCTACAAAAATTGTTAGCATATTAAAAAAAAAAAAATAAAAAAAAAATCAGTCCCAAAGATATTACCAAAGGCACGCTGAAGTTTCTCAAATTCCCAAATAGCAAGTAAATTCTTCCTCATTAAAAATGCAACAAAAGTTAGATTCTCAAAATAAATCTGTAAAATTTCTATCCTAAACCATCATATAGTTCCACTGGAGAAACAAGCATGTTTTGAAGACCTACAGATGAAAAGAGATGTAATAATATAACAGCTGTTCAGAATACATGAAACTAGTTCATCACTGTGAGATTTTATTTTATTTTTTTAAATGTGTACAAATGTAACAGTGAAAAACTGTTTACTGAAAGATTACATATAGAAGTGCAAAGCCTTTGGGATAGGCAGACAAGATTCCACAGACAAGACGAGTTTCAGAAGCAACAGGGCATGAAATAAGAAAAATTCGGAAAAAGTGGAAACATGAAATTGAAAATAAACACTGAATATTCTATCATGGCACCAATTCCACTGATGCTGTACAGTAGTTACTATAGTTACCAAACAGAATTGTATTTTATAACAAGTCAAAGTATTTGCAGTCAAAGGAAGATTGCCATCTGAGTTTATTTATGCAGAGCTGACAAACAGGCAGTTACAAAGCTGATGCTGTACGCACATGGAGGCTTGTGGTAGAAACAATCAACCAGTCATCAGAACTTATTAAACCACAAAAAAATTATCTACTGCTACCACAGCAAACTAAGACAGGTAAATTAGAAGCTCTTCAACGTAAATACATGTACATATTTGCACAAAATCATTAAAGCCAAAAGTTCTGAAGTAAAGACACTGGAATACAAATATATGAAGTTATCATGTAGAGTATTTCTACAGATGCTTAGAACCCAAGTAAGGTCTTTGCTTACCATCATCCTCCTAAAATTAAAGACAATTCTGCAATCTATACATTTAGTTCCATCAATTTTGGGAGTGCAACAGATACTACTTTACAATATTAACCTTAACAGAAACAAAAACCAGACATTTCCCAATTACTCATCACTTTCTGCACCACTGTCTTCTGAAAAGTCAACCAGTTCTTCTGTCACTGCAGCAGTGCAATGCAGCTTTTTAGTACCTAGAAGTAATTAACAAAGTATAATACTCATAAAGCAAGACAAACTAAGAGCTTCAAAACGAATATAAGAAGCCCTTCTGGCTACAGACTAGACAAAAACACTACAAGACACTGGACTAAAATGCTTTCTTTCTATGCTACTCTGACAGAAAAAAACCAGTCTGTGGTTTGCTAGTAGAGGTTCTCTCTAGTCGAACAAGAGTTACGTATATGAAATAACTCAGCATTTTAAATAAAATGCAGGTAACAAATCTGGATGCGAATTATTTCATGCACGATAAGAACTTATTTGTTCATTCCTTACCAACTGGAAAAGGGCTTTTGTCTTCATCATCTTCCCAGTATTCAAAGTCAAAAGACACATGAGGATTCTGTTAACAAAAAAAAGTCTGAATTTAAAAACAGATAGCAGGTTGGGAACATTCAGTGATTCTCAAGTTAATTCCCACTTCACCTTGTTCTTTAGTAACTTGCACCATGCTCCTTTTTTCTCTTTTCTGAGGACAATAATAGCCTCTTTATCCTTAATCACACACGCAGACTTTTCTGTAAGTATACACTGATACAGTTCCATATCGGCCAAGTAAAATCTGCCTTCTGAGCAGGCACTATATGATAAAAAGAGGAATTAAAAATATTAAATGCAAACCAACAGCTGAACTTTGTGTTTATTAAACTTAAATTTCTTAAACTTACCTGAAAATTACCTTTTCCTTAGAGAATTCACATTTGTAGTCAGCTATCCTTGCTATTCGAACCTTCACTGTAACAGTCTCTTCATTTTCAAACCATTTTATTTTTGGATAGAAACTACGATAAAGTTTGAGTTAGTCCAAAAATAGAAAGTAAGCTGCCTTAACTACAGCCAAGATTCTCACACCAGGATGCCAATGAACAGCACCTGTATGCATACTAAAACCCTAACAGACTGACTGAACAATGACAGGAAAGCACGTCAGGATGCCAGCCCAGCCTGTTATAACAGTACTGCCATCCCAGTCCTTGGAGCAGAACACCTGTTATAGTTCAAGTCAGGAGACATGCTGCATTCCATAGGAATAAACCATACTGCCTCATGTAAGGACAGTATGATAGTCTAACCTTGAAACTGCAAATAAACATACACTGTTCTATCTACCAAGGAACAGGGATAAGGGATTTATTGAAAGAATTAAAATGGGCCATAATTTCCTGTTGAAGACATTTACATTATTCTGTGTTTTTTCAAAGAATATTAACACAAAGAGAAAGACAAAACCAATTCATCTCATTGAATACCAACATGCAGAGACAAGAGTAGGAGCTACAGGTTAAAGCTCAGATAAGATAGTATTTGGTGTAAACATAATCCAACCAATATCAACCCGTAATACCTATTTACTGCCAAAATAATCTCAGTAAGGATAACTGTCCTGTTTAGCAGTTCACAATAAAAGGAAACATGACTGAATTTTTGTACCATTTCTGCTGATGCAGTGAAGAGTCTTCTGCTTCCTTAGTTTGAGCAACACCATCTACAAATAAGAAATGCAGGAAGATATCCTATACTTACCTATACAAACCAGGTACTTCCAGAACACCCCAGTAACACTATAAAATTAATTTGCTAGCAATCAGGTTACAACCATAAGCACAATGCCAGCATTTATGTCAGATGATTCCAACTTAGAAAGAATTCATCAATTTAATAACTCAAATGAAATTTCAACTAGAAAAAATTACAGGTGATATTAAAAAAAAAAAAAACCAACACATTTTTCAGGTAACAAAGGTCTTTTCAGTCTTCCAAACATAAGATTAATAGATCCCTGAAACAACTAATAGTAATATTACTACCAATCACAGCAGAAAACATGGCATTACTGCCACTTAGCAGGTGGTAAACAAAGCAAAAATAATCTACAATAGACATTCCAGGACCTTGCGATTTTTTCTTCCTCCTCCCCCCCCCCATCAGTCAACCCTCATCTCTCTAAACTGAGATTTCAACTGAAGTCAGATCATTTTCTGTCCTCTTCTATGGCTAACATCAAGCCATGTGCTTTTAGTCCTCTACTGACTGAGTAACAAGTCCCTGAACACCAGATTAAAAGGAAAAGCTATCTTCTACCATCCTGAATCTATATAATAAAACTTAGACTTCTCAGTGAACAATGCTGTAATTCAGCTTGGATATCCCAGCGGATTTTAATTTCCTCCAATGCTTTGGCCTTTGACAGTGAAATGTTCATCCTCTCCTTTTAACTATTTTTAACTACTTTTAAGTTCCAGAGCTTAACAATTCTGAGTATTTCAAGGACAATGAATACCCAAAGTAGTAAAACAGCTATATTAACATGGCTCATTCACACAGCATCTTCAGACTGCTAACTAGACTTACTCTAAAGATTAGCTATGTGGTACTTGTCCTGGGTACTCAGAGAAGTCTGCACTGTTAACTGAAAAGTCTTAACTTGAGAACAAGTCTAAGAAGTTTTCAGAAAGTGATGAGAATGCTTACCACACAGATGACTCCCCATAGTCGCTTTAGAAGAATTACAGTTTTCTGAAGAATTTTCCTTTAGGGACACATCCTGCAGCGCAGACACATTTTCAGGACTAGCTGCATCCTCCTTTATGCTTCTGAATACAGGAAGACATACTTTTAAAATGAAGTGTTTGAAAATGTTAACTATCCAAAGGTTTCCTAACGAGAGTTGGAAACTCTATTTAAATTTTTAATTTTAACATATACGGAAAATAGTGCAGAACTTTTAAAACGCACTTCTATACAAAAACCAACCAAGTTATTGTCTTAATTTTAGCTAAGATTGTTTTCTTCAGCATCTGATACGATGCTGTTTTGGTTCTAGGGCAAAAACGATAACACACCAATGTTTGAAACAGCAATTGTACAGAGCCAAGGCCACCTGCCTCAGAGGGCACAAGGAGCTGAGAGGAAACAGAATTCTGACAGTTGACTTACAGCAGCCATAGGGATATTCCATACTATACGACATCATGCAGAAGGAGTTATGAAGGGGGTCAAGGGGTGAAAGGAGAGTTCATCTCTCACTCTTCTTTTGCTTGGGAAGCTAGCAAGGCATCTGTTAGGGGCTGGCGAGCAATTGCTTGCACATCACTAATCAATATACATCTATAAATACACACACTTAGCATAATTAATCTTTTCTTGATCTTAGTAAATAGCTTCATCTCAATCCATGATTTCTACTTTTTTTTTTTTTTTCCTAAATTCTTTTCCATCCCACTGGGAAGTGGAGGGAAAAACAAGCAAATGACTGTGTAGTGCTTAGCCACCTGCCAGATTAAACCACAACTGTGAATGACTTCATTGTATGCATTTTAAATGAAGAATCTTGGAATCCTTGACAGGTCACAGAAAGATGTGCCCTTCCACACTACATCCTTACTCAGTTAAGAATTTTTTAAACAGCAACGTGTACTGAGTTAAAACATCATGTAACCCCACTCATTAAAGAGTAGTGCCCTAATTAGTTAGATGAGAGCAGATATCACAGACAATATCATCTGTTTAAATAAAAATCATACTCTCCAATGAATAATGTAAATATCCAGTTATTTTCCTAATAACACATTAGCCGAAAATAACTTGGAAATACTCACAAAGGCTCCAAATTCTTTGCATGACTTAACTTCATGTGCTCACACAACTTCTGAAGTTGCAATATATGTTCTGGATTATCAGTTCCCAGACCTGTAGACAAAATCTCGGATCGCACACTGTATTCATTGACATACATCTTCAAATCTGAAAGCCTGGTAACCCGGACCTAGAATTACAAAATGTACTACATAAAAACCACAGCTCAGACTGCATCTCTCCAACTCTAAGCTATTGTTTAGCTAAAAACTTTACACATTTGCCCATTTGTTTCTGATTTTTCAAATGGTGAATAACTTACTAATATTCTCAAAATAACAGCTGGTCTATGTATAAGAATCAACCCAGTAAGTAAATAGAAAAGCTCTAGAAATGATTCCAGAAATTACGACCAAAATATACACCATACAGTTATAATTGCATCTTTAGGTCCCTCAGTTTATGGAGGGGAACAAAAACAAAAGCTAAAAATCAAGAGGAAGAGTTGAGATGCCATACTAGAAAGGAAGTATGGAAGAAAATCACTTGCAAATAATTTTCTCTTTCTGTTCAATTTTTCAGTTCATTGAATGGACAGGAAAACAAAGCATAGCACATGTCAGTGTGCAGAAACAGCCTAGGGTACTCCTGAGCAGAATCAAAACAGAAAAAAATGCATCACGATCCTGACATACAGAGATACCTCATCAACATCCCCTGACCTTAAAAAGATCCTGCAACCTCTGAGCTATGTTTGATAGCAACTCTTCATAGAACTCCCAGCTCTTAGAATTATTTTTGACAGACAACGCATTTGTTTATGCCATTAGGAAAGGCATAAGACACATCTGATTTTTCTAATTTTCTTTGCTTGCTATTACTTTCCAGTCAGTACTTCCAGCACTGATGCTTGCTCCAGTCCAGTAATTCTTAGGGGCCATGGAATTGTTAGAAAAATATGAACATAGCACTGACCTCAACGTGCTACTTTCAGGAAAATTAAAAAGTCAGTTCTGACAGAAAAAATAATTTCATCACATCTGAAAAAGTAATTCCAAAAGATCAAATCTGAAAGTGATCAGCAACTTTGACTGAATAATAAAAATCATAATGCAACTAGTTATAACAATCAATCATTCTCAGGGTGAACAAGTGGCACATTCCCTTTTGTCCCACTCCTCGCTGGTGCAAGAACCAGAAGCGACAGTAAAGGCTTAGAAATATAGTCAGAATAAATTAAGCCTAACATAACAGATCTTAGATACTTGAAAACAATCTCGGAGTATATCCACCTGGACAAGATATCCAGATGGCTTCTTAGTACATCCAGCAATAGAGAGTATACAACCTTCAACAGTCTATTTTGTTCCCAGTCACACACGAATAACACTAATTAAAATCAAAATAGGAACCAACAGAAGGACAGATACAAATGAATACTCTTGTTGTAAAGGAGCACTGTTAGAAACATGCAACTATACATACCATTGGGTCAATCCAAACTGTATTTCCTAAAGTAAGTACTACCTTTGCTTCATGTGGTTTCCTTTCAATTTTCTGATGAATATAACGAGTCACCTAGGAAAAACAAAATCATCTTTGAAATGTATAGCAACATAAATTGGCAGTAATTTCACTTGTAATGAAAGCCTTCTGAGCTAACGACAAGAGCATTCACTAAATAAAAGCAAGATTTTGAGCAGAGTAACGAAATACTAAAACCACACCATGGACTCTGTGTGCATATCGTTTGGTATGCAGAAGGATATGCAAACAAGTCAATTTAGAGGCTGCCCCTCTCCCCACAGATTGGAAAGCAGCAATAACTTGTTCTGGAAGAAGTGATTTAAATCACATATAATAAAACTCCAGAATTTCACTATTTTTCTTAGCCAACAAAATAGTAACTTGAGCTTCTCAGAATCAAGCCCACTATCAGTTATTCATTCGTAACATTAATAAGTAATGAAATGGGTAACTAAATTCACAGTTCATAACTGTTTTCTCATAGAAAATAAACACACAAATTAAAGAACTTCAGGAAAATACTACGACAAAAACCAATGGCTATTACCCTTGGGTTCCACTCAGTGTCATTATCAATGGGTTTAACTCTACAAACTACAAATTCCACAGCCTGAGGTGGCAAATGCTGAAATCTTGCAGGTAAGTGAAGAAGCTGACAGCTCTGAGCTTGACTAGTTCTGCCTTCATCTACGTATTTGATTTTGATGTTAAAATTTCCTTCTTCTTTTGAAAAAGTCTCTACCACCTGGACCCTTCACACAGTGGAAGAAGACAACAATTAATATTCATGCAATCCGTTAAGTATTCATCTGCTTTCCACAAAAAGTAGAAAACTCACAGTCAAACATTGAACTGGTTCTGGGGATACGTATTTGGATTTTCCACTGGGCAAATCACACTTCTTTTTAAAATTTGTTTTAAAGACTGATTTGTATTGCAGTCATTTCCTGCTGTTTTCGGAACAGGGTGTGGAGGCAGGGTTTTTTTTTTTTTTTTTTTTTTTAAATCAAACATTGAACATTTTTAATATATTAAAAAAGCATACATGAATAAATAAAAAACACCATTACCTGTGAAAGACTGTTTCCTCACAGAATCCATACAAAGCTAATTTTTCTACCTTTTGAGCAGCAACTCTATTACTAGTCTCCTTAAAATACTCATTGATTTCTTCAGCAAGAATCGTATATTGGTCCTTCTGTTTATCTACAATACGACCAAAGTAGTTTGTTGCATTTACAACGTGGAGAGGAAGCACCTGAAAGCAAAACATAAATTGGGGGGTAGGGAAAGAAGAGTGATTATTTCTGAAAAATGAGATGCGTGATATAGACGTACCGGAACAAACATAACATAAACCCTCTTCACACTGAAAGCTAGGATAAAAACCTCATCATTAACACTAGTAAATCAGACACCAAGCCTGAATAACCTGCAAAACAATTTCAGTTCAAACTAAGGATAAAGAAAAAATCTGGCATACTTGATTCTGCAACCCCTTCAACAGACAGACCAAAAAAGCTACACAAGAGAAAATATTCCAGAAATACAATGTACATACTGCAATAGTATTAATATATTTTGAAGGAAAAAAAAAGTCTTATGCTGAAGCAGCTACATAAGACCTGCCTTCTTAGTACTCAAGACAAAGAAAAATTAAAACAACTCACTGTCACATATCCAGATGTTTGTATAGTTTTAGATGTCATATTCTGGAGCATGTCTATTTGTGAATTAATTTGATGACGATCTGGACATACTGTTCTATTCCTACATTAAAAAAAACCATGAGTAAAATCTGATCTGATGTACCCAACAGGATAATTCATGGAGGAAGTAGATTAAGCCATTATTCAGGGCACTTTTATATTTATTTCTTTATATTCAGGGCACTTTATATTATTATTTATATATTATTATATATTATTAAGGCATTATTCAGGCATAAGCTTCAGGATAATACATTACGTACTCACTTGCAAGTCCCAAACATTTTAAGATAGGTGCACAACGGCCTTGCAAATTTCTTCTTTTCTTCAGCTTCTAGCACTCCAGCCAATCCTGGTGGAATGTCAGCTTCAGCACGCTCCAAATAGCGCAGGATACCAACAGTGTGGCACTCACTGTTTTCTGTTAGCATTATGACTGACCTTGCCTGTCGATGGTCCTGATCAGATGAATCCAAAAATACACATTTGTTCAGCATTTATTTATCCACTACTAACTCACCATATGTTAATATTAATTTGCCGGAGATGCACTCAAACCTTTATCATATTATGGAAGTTGTCAGACATGCTGTGTAGACGCTGACCGAAGATTGTTGGAGAAGAAGGAAAACTGAAATGTATCACACAAGACGCATCTGTAATCTCCAAGAACTGCATGCAGTCATCTGTTAGAACTGAACACATGATTTATACATAAGGTAACCGACATACTTGTGATGTAATGCTTTACACACCTCATTTGCAATGGCTGCTTCCTCCTCCTCATCCACTGACTTAATGGTAAGGTCTTTTCCCTATATAGATTACTATGATACTACTTTTTTCAGTTAATATTTTTCAAGTATACAGAACACAGTATTACATCACCTCTAGTTCAATTCAGCACCTTGTAACAGTATAAATGAAGAAATACCATAGGCCACAGACAGATATTTCACTGGAGTAGGATTGAAAACATTTCCAGTAACATAGAAATGCGAACATCTTTGTATAAACCTATCAATCAGACACAATTAAGTCCATCTTCTTGCTCTGATGTATAAAAGGGAGAAAATTATGTTTAAAGACCAGGTGAGAGTCTCTGCAATTGCAAGCAACTCAAAAAGTAAAAGCTCCACCAGAACATAAGGGAAATAATTATGCTATGACTTGAGAGGTTCCAAATTTCAAACTGAAAAAATCCTCTGCATTAGCAGACAATCATGAAACCAGGAAAGTTCTCATAAGGAGAAAAAAATATTAGAATAGACATAGCACTAACAAATAAAGAGACAACTGAAAGTAATTTGGACAGAATTGACCTGGCAAAGTGAAGAGAACCTAATAAAATATAATATAATAATATAATGTAATATAATTTAATGTAGGACATCAAGTCACCATGAAGAAATAAACAGACAACCAGAAAACAATAAAGTACCCACCTAATACAACATGACTGCGACTGCTATAGCTTCTTGTCCAATGCTCCAAGAAATCCTTGAAATTAAACTCCATTTCCTTATGTATTTTGAAGACAGATATTGAGTCACTCTTCAGTGCCTGATGACAAAATAAAAATGGCATGTTCTTCCAATGCAGTGATAACTGCTCTAAGAAACTCTTAGTAATTTACCTTAGTATCAAGCATACCCTTGCTAACATAAAGAACTGAAAGCAAGGAGGAAAAATAGTGAAGTTTTTAGGTTGTTCATATGAAAAATACTGAAGATGAAGTTAATCATCTGCTGCACAAAGCAAAAAGTATTAAAGCTGGCCACCACATGGAACTGAATACTTGCACTCTTTTGTATGTCATTTAAGATGTGCAAAGCTGGAATATACAGCGATTACTAAAAACTCCCTCTAAAAGCACAAACATCATCTGTAGCATCGACAAATACCTTCTTTTCCTTAAGTAGTGCCATCTGTGAAGAGTGAAATTTAACCCTCAGACATTCAAATAAAACATATACATAAATTCAGGAACTTTGTTGTTACCTGATATACTATTTCTACTTCATCTATGGAATTAGTGAAAACCAGCACCTTCTGAAGATTATTAGGAGTAAAATCCATTATTTTGAGTAACACAGCAGTTCTCTCACTGCTCACACAATGCTGCACAACCTAGAAATTGATATAAAATAGATGGCTGCTAATTAATATAATCTATACACATCTTACCACGTAACATGTAGTCCTTTTAACGAGTACTGTGCATCCGTACATACATCATGATAGAAGAGGTAAATGGTTGCTCTAAAGTTTACAGAAAATACAGTTCTCACAGAGATAAACTTAGACAGCTTCCAGAAGAATATTTTCACAAAATTAAAATCTTAATTCTTAAACATTTGATAAAAACGTTCAATTAAAATTACAGCTCTAATTTCTCAGCTCCGATTTCTCAATCATTCAATGTTAAATGATTTCTTCAATTGAACTTTGACATTTTCAAGTACCACTGAAAAAAAATTAATTTTTTAAACTAATGCTTAAAAGCATGCTGCACTCCCTGAAACACTTCTATTACATAAAGCACGAAAGTGCTCACATTTTCATTTCTGCTCAACCATTTATTAGACTTCTCACAGGAAGGGATGTCCCTTCTTTTGGACTTCAATATCTAATGTTGCAAGTTTCTTCAAGTTTCCAATTCTTAATCATTTTTAGGTACAGTAAAATTCAGGCTGCACATAAAAATAATAATATAAAAGGTTTTAAGGGCTCCACTGGGTTTCCCAGCAATTAAGAAACATCTAAGAGCTCTTAATATCTTCTTGACTTAAGATTTAGAAAAGTAAGTTCTTCACTGCCTGGCATGCCACAGTGAAATTGATTTTTAGAAGTTGTATTTTAGGAAGACTTGCCTTGTAGTTCTGCCACTCACAATCAACAGGTGCAAGAACTTTCCAATTTTTGGTTTTTTGGTCACAAAATATGATTTGCAAACGCTTACATAAAATTCAGACTTATTTGCATTACAGTGGATAGTTGAGGGAACATCTTCACCTCAGTCCTAGGAAAACAGTTAAATCACATTCACCTACTGCAGAGATTATTTTGCGTGTTTTTTAAGAATCACCTCAGTTTATATGTGGGAGGCACACCTGAGCAACCTGAACTGCAATTCCAGCACTATCCAATCAAAGCAAACAAAAACCCCTTGATCATTATAAACAATTGATTGTTTGGTCATTATAAACAACAGAATGGCTCAGTTAACAAATAATTACATCAGCTCCAAGCTTTTACCTGTTGCACATTTCCATAAATGGAAGCTTCTTCCAAAGCTGTTATCACAATGTAAGGATCATTCATGAACTCCTTTATTAAGATTCCTATATGCTTATTCCATTGAGTTCCAACAGCAATAATTTGATGTGGTGAGTATTTCCATTCCTCAGTAACGAGATTTTTCTTGTAGTAACCTAGTATAACAGAAACCTATAAAACAAAAAATGGTTTTACAATCTTATCTAATTCCAATGAGTTTGTAAAAGCAGAGAATACTCCGCTCTTCCTGTCACAAACTAAACTACATCCACCAAAAACCTCCACACCACCTCCAAGACTCAAGTTTCACAACCCAAAACAAAGTTTGTGGTTTCTGTGCATTCACCCTGTTATTTTAACACCTTCTGAAGTCAGCAGAAAGTGAGAAAAGAATGCGAAGCAATTGTGCTCACACGTATACAAACCTACACCCTCTCGCAAATTGATGGCACTAACTGATCACAGATAACACTGCTAAGAACCAAAGAAGCTAAATCCTTTACAAAAAATCTACTAGGAAAAAAAAAAGAATATTCCAGTGTTGCAAGTCAACAGGACCTTGATAAAAGTAAAAGACACCTTAAGATAAAAAGGTTATTCAAAGGCTGGTAAGATGCATATGCAACCTAGTTAGCTGGGAACTTAATGCTATTCCTCTTCTAAGGCCCTGTTAATGTTGGGACCAGCTTCTCCTTGACAACAGTGACAACAAAGCCCAAGAGAAGTCTTTCCTATATAGTATGTAGTCATTCACTTCTGCCTTTCATTTTACAAGAACTAAGGATCTTACCAACAGCTTACAACTATAGCTGTTCATAAAATCTGATAAGAATGTCATTAACTGATAAGAGGGAAAAGAAAGTTCCTTAGAGACAGAGGATGCATTTATAAGCACGTCTTAAAAGGAGATTAAGGACTCCTACACAGAAGGTACTGCTAACAAAATGGGAACAATCCAAATGTCTGGGAGACCACTCTCAGCAAATGAAGAAAGCATGATGGTGCAGTGACATCAAACAAGACTACAGCTTTCCAAATAATAATGATAAAAACCCAACCAGACAAAAAAAGTACAAAAACTAAGTTAGATTAATAGAAGTTAGATTAATAGATGTAATGCTACAGTGCAATGCAAAGCACAGCAATGATAGCAGGGCAGCAAACCCTAAGCTGCAGCAAGGGAGGATAAGCCCAAATGCAGCAGCCACAAACACAGAAACAAAGGAAAAACTATGTTACCCTTGGAAGGCTTCAGGTATGCAGGGATGTCTAGAGAGATACCTTCACATCCTCTGCCAACCCTTAAATGAGGGCTGGGAAGGGGTGCATCCTAGCTCCACCTTTTCTGGTCACTCAGGTGCACACACTGACCTCCCCTGAGCTGCCCCTGCCTTCCCACCAGGTGCTCAATCACTGCTTCAAGCCATGACTTAGCATTTCTGCTACAACAGACTGTAAGACTATTAAAATACTTCTCCAGTGTTACAATCTACCAGAAATACATTGCATGGGAACTGCTGAATCACGGCCTGAACCTCTGATTGACCACCTGAGGCAAGCAATGAGTCAGCCACAGGAGCACAGGTGAAGGCAATTCAGCTGTGCCACCAGAAGGGGTGGAGCCTGGCTGCATCTCTCTTAGATCCATTTAAGAGCTGACTGCCAGTGGAGAAGATCTCTTCTGGAGATCCTCTCTGCTGGAGTTTCACAAGCGACCCCGGATATGGGTAAGCATCCTATCTTTTCTGCTTTGGTGTAAGAGCTATGGAGGCAAGCTCTCTAGTATGCCTCATAACTGTAACATCTGTACATTCATTGATTGTACATACATATACAATGATTTCTAATTCCTTTGTCTTTTCTCAACTCTACCACAGGGTTTGAAGAAAGCTGGTACCTGTACTACAATCCACTGTCTTCAAAATTGCTAGGGGCATTAGAACTGAAAGGCATTTTACCATCAGAACCCATTTACCTGTTCAGCAGCTTCAGAGAATAGTACCTCAATTTCATCCAAAATAAGATGGCAAAGTCCAGAAAACAAGGAAAGGTGATATTTATACAATCTCAGGAGACTGTATGGTGTAGTCACAATTATTTCACCTACATGTTAGAGGAAAAAAAGCGATTAGTTTTGATTTGTAACCTCAAAGAATACAAGTAAAAACACTGAAGAACACAAGACCACTAAACCATTTCTTGAGGTACCCTTCTCTAACCTTTATGATTCTACCCATATTCCAGGAGAATAAGAATGAAAAGCTTCTGTAACAGATCAGTTAAGATATCTACTCTTAGATGTCAAACCTGAACTGATATACAGAAAATCTGCTCCTTAAAACTGAATACCAGGAAGCTACAGGATTTTAGAAAACGCGAGAAGCCTGAATGTAACAAGATAATGAAACAGGATAGCACTTCATTTTCCAATAAGCCTTCATTAAAAGAAAACTTCAGAAGCAGACGTGCAGAATTTAAACATTTAACTGCTTGCAAAAGCAGCCCCCCCATTAGAAAAAAAAAGTTAAAAAAAAAAAAAAGGAATCAAACACATATTGTAGCTTAAACACACAATCCTGATATGTGCAAACATATGAACAGGTATTATAAGACATCTTAATTCATCTACCAGGCACATAAACTTGAATAAAGGCTATAAAAACAGATGCTCAGGTATCAACAAAATGCTATTACAAATTTAGTTTCAAATCAACGAAGTCTGTGATCAATCCTAATATGGCATAATCTTCATGAAATCCTAACCTGGTGAAAAAATAATTATCATGGAGTTCATTAAAAAAAGACATGGAGGTAGTAAAACAGCCTTAATACAATTTACTGTTAAATAATAGTACTGAATTTCAGACATATCACTATGGAGTTACAGCAGTAAACAGCAGTAAAGAAACAGTACACTATTACAAATGAGTAACTTAATTACTTCTTTCACAATTTCCTGACATTAATACAGCCCGCATTGTTTTCAAGCATCATGAAGAAAATAAAAAAATATTCTTACATCCTTGGATTTTCACTGTTTCAGCTTCTTCTCTTTTCTTCCCAAGTATTATCAACATCGGACAACTCAGTCTGGAGCATCTGCTGTATTTTTTCAGTAACTCAAAAACAAGCTGTGCCTTTCTCCAACCAGGACATAAAATAAGCACCAGTGGCTACATATGTATACACACAATTTACATTGTATTACTTACAATTCTCAGCTTTTATCTAAAACTATCACAACATTTATAGCAAGGAAAGTCTGAAAAACATACCTTCAAGCATTTCCAAAACAGAACTTGTAGTATTGCATCATCCAATAAAAGCAGATGTTACAGATCCAAGGAATCATATACCAGGTTACCCTGAGACAAGGACTATGCAGTAACTAGCATAAAAGTCTAAAAATTTAATAGCAGTATCATCTGATCTTAGTTTGCACTACATCATCTCCACGGAAGACCTTTACAACTTCAATAGTTCTATTTTTCTGAGATCTAATACAGAACAATATCCAGTATTTCAAACAGCTAACCAATACAAATTCAGTGAAAACAGGCTAACCCTATAAAAATAAAGGCTAGGAATCAAAGTGATGTAACAATAATCATTTATTAAGTATTACCTGCTTTGTCTTTGACTGTTGTATTCACCAAGTCCAACTATGTAAGCTTTTATGCAGAAGACTTATATAAACTGGCAAACTTCATGAAGATCACATTAGATAAGTACATTCTGGATACCCACTACTTTTTTTTTTTTGCATTATTATACTACAGAAAATCTGATAGTACTTTAATATATACATACTCCACTTCTTTTTGGCAAGGCTTTGTAGCAGTTTTCCATTTGCAAGAAAGCAAGAACTGGTGGAATATATAAGAAAGGGTCATTTCCTTGATAGGAGATGGTAAGTACGTCACATCCACGAGCTATTGCTGGCCAAGAGTAAGATTCTGCGAAGTTAGGGCCTAAAAACTTATCCTGAGCAAGTTCCTAAAGAAGGAGACATTAAGAGTTCCATGTGAAAACAGTACATTAATTTACAAAACCAGACAGAACATGGAGTGCATTTAAGAGCTTCCTGATCCATTTCACAATAAATATCCTTAACACAGAATACAAAAAAAAAAAAAAAAAAAGAATTAAATTATTACATTAAAATGACATGACTAATGGTTAATATGCCAGCAGAAACCTACACGAGGCTTACAGGTGTCTGTCAGCATCTCTTTAAAACTTCATTTCTTTCATCACATGAAAAACATCTGAAGACACCCCTCAGTCAAAATAAAGTATTATTATAGTAGCATATTCAGTTTACAAAGTGAGAACACCACACATTTGTTAGGAGAAATGCAGCATAAAATCAGATATTGGTGTTACCTTTTTCAGATTATCGTGAAGTGGTGCTTTTTCCAAAATTGAAGTTGGCTCAATTTTGTTGCTAAGAAAGACAAAGCTTCGTTCTTCTCTAAGGTTCTGAGATGTCTGGAATCACATGAGTAGAAGACAGTACTGAAGGCAATACATAACATAACATCAAGTAGCTGTAAAAGACAGTTCAGCTGGCCATTCACAGAATGTTACAGAAGCAGAGCAGGATAATCATCTACTGCTAACAATATTATTTCCTTTCCCTCTCCCCCCCAAAATTCTTAATTAGGTATTTCACTTTAAGTTCTGTAGTGGTTGTCATCCTGCAATACTCAGCAAAACTTAAAAAGAGTTTCCTGTGAAACTCATTTTTCCCTCCAAGCTGGTAAGAGAGCCAGTTGCATTGCTATCAGCAAGTAAATTTCTCTTTAAATCACCTAGCATAAAATGACAAAAAGACATCATATTCACTCTTTGAAAAGCAGAAAGAGGATCCATTACCAGTCATTATTTGCCTAGAATTATGGATTCATACTCCTTTCCTCTCACTGATATTTTAACTACCTTCGACTATGCCAGTAACCACCTCAGCACTCATGGGCTGACCTCTTTAAAATAGCTCAGAAAACAACAGCAAGTAAAAAAAAAGAAAAAGCAAGAAAGTAGATTAGACATAAGAAGTACTAAAGAACAAATAAGAATAACTCCAGGGAATGTATGCCATGCTATAGCATAATGACTACTTTGTTTTCAGGACAGAACTAAAGCTCACCTTCTTTCATTTTCAGAAAACTGGAAGTCCTACTGTAGACAGCTTCACCTTCATAAAACCACAGCAAAGGAGAGTAAAAAGAAGGCAGAAACTTTTCAAGGCCTACAGATTTTGTTAGTTTTTTGTTTTGTTTTAAATGTTCCTCCACGTAAAGAAAGAATATTCTCCTTCAACTATACGAAGAATTAGCATGGTCTCACAGACTTAAGTTATGCAGAAGAACTGGACAGGTGACTACAGCATTCCTTATCTGTCTGGTGTACATTTAAATTGTCAAAGGTGAATTTGATTATTACAAAACAACACTTACAGATTCATTATTTTCATTGAGATCCATGTTAGATCTTTTGTATGTCTTTTCAAGAGAGGAACTAGAAGCAGTATGGCCTAGGAAGAAGAAATTTTCAAGTTATCTCAACACACGAAAAACCGCTATTATTATTTACAGCCGCGGTTACCAGTGGTTTTGTTTCATTCCTGTATCATTTGCTAATAGTAAAAAAAAAAATAAAAACCTCCATCAGGATGGAAAATTGCATACCTTCTAATGGACTTGAATCACTACAAGTGGCACAACTCGTAAATCCTACAGTTTTACAACTACTTCTGTTTAAAATAAACCCATTCAAATGCAAAAACAAAAGTAATGCATCAAACAACTAATTTCAATAATATCTAATGCTATTAAGCACATTAACAAACACCAATACAACTCACAGTTTTTGTCTTATGCACTACAAAAAAAAAGAACAGCTCAAAGTATTCCTGCATCTGGTGATTTGATGACTGTGAAGTCAAACACCTGTCATTAACAACACTGTTTGATTCGATCACTGGATTCAAACTGAGACAGCAGGCTCAGGTTCAGTATGGCCAATCAGAGATATACAACATACTGCATGTTTCTGACATAGTGTGCCCACCTGCTTCAAGTTTCATTGGTACCTCCTCTTGCAACCACACTAGCCTGAAAGCAAGTGCTGGATTAACAATTTCTACTGGAGGAGAATCAACATTTAAAGATGTCTGGTTATATTGTTCTTTCGTTGGACTTTGAACACTCTCTTCAGCTTCCTCAAAATGAGCAAACTTCTTTAAGACAAGATCATCATTAATGCATACCTAAAAAAGAAAAGATGATCTTTGACCAGTACCGATATCACATACTTAAGAGTATATTTCAAGCTTCAAACAGTAGTAACACTTAAGCAGTATCAGTGCTTTTTGAATAATGTTAAATCCAGAATAGGAAGCCATATCTTCCAGTACCTTCTCAAAATAGATTTTAATTAGCTGTAAATTTCATGCTTCTCCAGAAAATTTTGTATTCCAATCATCTTTTCTGTCAACCCTAAACATTCAAAACTACTAAGAAGAAAAGCAGGTTATTATTTTGATTCAGAGGGAATCAAAGTGTGGCAGACAAAACGTATTACTATACCAAAACTCCAGAACTCTACTGGCTCAGAGATCAGTGACTGTATTAACAATTATGACTCTGAACCGATGGAAGGTCTCAGACTTCACACATAACTGAAAAGTTATGGTCTATGGCAAAGACCACAGCTCTAGGGCCGAAAGTTGGCAGAACACTCCAAAAAGATGCAAATGAGTTGTTTCATAACTACAGTATGGCTGCATAAGCTTGACAGTAGCCACAGTAAAGCATTAGCAGAAGTTTCACGTTTTGGCAACTGGAGCTAGTTTTTCCCCAAGATTTGAGGATGAAGTCTTAAGCAAAAGCAATCATGAACTGATATTTAAAGATTTTTCAATTAGTCAATTGCAAAATACTATTTAAAAATACCAGAAAGGCAAAGAAGTGCACTAAATAATTCACTTAGCTGTCCATTTCAATTACCTATTTGCGTATTTTTATTTTTGAAGTTACATCTCACCATGGGTGCACAGTGATTAGGCACAAATAACTTTTAATACTTCTTGAAGAATATCAAAGACATTATTCCAGCTCGTTTTAAGCAAAGAAAATATTCCAATGGTTTAAAACAGGCACCAGATTCTGAAATATATGCAGTTTTACTACATAGTTCAGTGTTATAACCTCCAAAAACAGCTATACATTACAGCTGGAAGAAATCCAGTAGAACACAAAAACAAACAAACATACACAAACATAGAAAATAAAATAGTACACAAAGCCACACCCAGAATTGCAGGTCATCCAAAGTTACCTCCACTAATTCTATTCCAAAATGAAAGTGCTCTGGTTTTAACACTATCAGCATCCACATATTTTTTAAAAGTCTCTTCCTAATACAGATACCCTTACATTTGCTTCTTTTCTAAAAAATAAAAGATTGGAATAATAATTAAGAGAGTAACTTACTCTCTTACTTCAATTTTTAATGACAGAAATATCTTTAATAAGTAACACAGCACTTACTATATCTGACAAAAGACAAAACTCATTATTAATGCTTTTCAGTCTTAAAAATTGCAGAATTATGATTTTTACTGTAAAGCGTACCAACGGGTTTGTAGACATCGAAGTATCCTACCTTTTCATCTTCTATTGTCACATAAAGAATAACATGAAATGTATCATCTTCCACAGAGCATAACTTCGCTTTGATTTGTGTAGTTGCTAAAAAATAGCAATAAACAAGAAGTCCAGTATTTTTCAAGCACACAGAAATAGAAAGAACGATGAGATGAGTGTGATCTATTACTTTCAAGAGAAACTAGTACAAATGTTTTGATTTTTTAAAGGAACAGCAATTTTGCAATACAGGCAAAAAAACCTTAACATTAGAAAAGCATTGCTCTCAGTGTCTGAGGGAAGACAGAACTGCAACAGACCAGTGACTGGTCCACAGACACCAGTCACAGTCATACACCAGAAGTGTTCACATTCTACCCTCAGACGAATAACGCAGAGTACAAATGCATACTTTCCTACTTCGAGACTTTTTCTGAAAGAAGGTATATTTGCACGTTTGCAAAGTTTGGTTAGGATATTAATTAAAAAAACCCTAACAAATAAATGATGTCTGTTATAAAATTCTTAAGTATTTCTCCTGCACACACTACTGATGTACCAGCAATAATAATTAAAAAGAGCATAATATTGCTTACCACAGTCTGGGAATGTTTGTGGAATCAAATTAATGTTGCTGGTGCTGCCCACTACCCTCTGCATAGCAATATTTGACACTTAGATGTGCAAACACACAACTTAAATAATGAAAAGTGCCACGTTCCCACTACGGTGTGAAGTTATTAGTCTTAACAGTCCTTACTGTTATTATGAACTCAGATACTTCTTCCCAAATATCATTTTGTATAGAGTACACTGTACTTGCAAGGAAGCAGGTAAGAAGCCTTTCAGTAGAAGCACATAAGATCAGACAAACTCAGCAAAGAACTGTTTTGAAAAATCAAAAGCTCTCTCATACCAAAACAGCACACTTGATATGAAGAAGTCTGGATGAGCTACTGAAACACCACACACGATTAAGGACACAAACTGAGCAGAGAGCAAACCATTCTAGCTTACTTAGAAACTATGCCGAGCACAATCCATTTAATAATGTAACTATAATCAAGATAATCTCTTCTGAGCTGGTGTTTTATATTCTTGTCACACAACTAGCAAAAACAGCTTTAAGGCTGATTCAAAGAATCATGCTGAATACAAAGAAAGGTACCACTGTTTAAAAACAGTTGTTATACGAGCGCTACCTTATTCAACCCATCCAAAAAACCCACAGAAAGACACAACTTAAGACACTTGCCACATTTTACACAGAATGGAAACCCACAGCACTCAAGACGCACGACTACATGCAATCTTGACTAAGTCAACTCACACAGACAAAAACAACCACACAACTCATTTCTATTAAGAATTTAGTGAAAATTAAGAATGAATCCATATTCAAGTACTATGTTTCTCTGGCAACTTATTTTTCCCCAAAACAGAAGTGCCAATTTTTACAAGACTTTTACCTTCCAGAAGACTTTGAAAATACCGCGTAGCAGCATTATCCCATCTTTTGGCTGGTCTAGGAAAAGAAACACAACCAGTTATCCCACATTCACACCATCACAAATTCAAATGGTAATCTGAATAGTGAGGCACGTATCCATCGAGTCCTGCTAAGTCTCAAAACCTGCATCTAACAAAAACATAAGCAGAAACTTAATACTCTGAATATAACTCAGGTTTTGATTTATCAATTCATTCCTAGAACAAACTACTTGAAAATTATTGGATATTGCTCTGCCAATATATGATGGATACATCCAACACAGAACAAACTAGTAAGAATAAAGTAGTATAATAAGAAGCAAAAGCAAGAATCCACTTATAGAACACATCAATTGCTTGAAATTAGTATTGAACAATTTTACAATGAGCAACTTATAAACTCTGAAATTCTAAAAATTTGAAGTACTGCAACAAAAACTTAAATTGTCATTGCCACCTTCTGCAAAGATAAAATATACAGATTCTAACAAAAAACAAATATACTCTGGTTCCCTCTACTCATCTACTAACCTCTCAATAATTCACAAAAATAGCCCACTCAAGATGCTATTCCTATCCAAACTAAGTTACTATTTTTTCTGACGGAGTATGCAAGTAAAAGATTTTTAATTTCCAAGTGTTTAAAAAACCACCTGTTGGACTACATCTAGTTTTGAACATCCTTTAATAACAGAAAACAGTAGTTTCCTTGCTATGAAGTCATACTCCGACCCCACAATATAATCACATCTGAAAATCTTCGACAATGACATTCTGTAACTTAAAATAAGAACATTCAAATGTTTCCCTTTACCAGCAGACTCTAAAGAAAACCTTTTCTCCAGTCCTCCAGAGCTGATACAAAGATGACAAATACAACAGGAGACCAAACCATTTCAAGAAGAGAGAGAAAAACAAAGCTATCTAAAAACATTATTAGAATTTCCATTCTGGCAGAATGTGTAATAAGCACAAACAAGACAGTCAGTAGTGAGATGAGCACCCCAAGGAAGAACACAGAAGGATAACTGGCAGAGAAGCTCGTGCTAGCAACCAAGTAACACAGCTCTAGGATGGTAAACAAAAAAACAAGAACTGCCAAATGCTCATCAAAATATTAAAAGATTCAAATAGATGAGAAAACAAACCCCAAATGATTTGGGAAGGAATTTTTTTTTTTATTTTCTTTTTAAAAAAAAAAAAAAAAAAAAAAAAAAAGATGTTTCATTCTCAAATGAAATTTTACGTCTGAGAAACGCGTGACAAGAATACAATTACAGAACCCTACTTACACTATTTTTGCTATATCTTCACAGAGGTTGACATGCAAGGTCACAGGCTTTGTGCGATACAATCCACATTTTTTTGCTCTAAATGGGATTTGCATAAATTCTTCCACTGCAACTCGAACACTTAAAAACAAAAAACAGAAATAATCTCATTCTACAGATTACATTCTGCAGAAGTCACTGGCATTTCAAATACATCCTTTCATTATCCTACGTGACAACACAGTTCTTCTAGATGTTTGGCTCCCACCGTGAAACTCTGCACTCCCTATTTAGCAGAGAAAGTTCAATTTAAAGTCTTTTCATGATACTATATGTATGTTTTCTGGCACTGCATAAACCATTTGACAATTCTTACTCTTCAGTAAAAAAAAAATAATACATGATTAAAAGCAAGGATAAAATTAATATACTTATTTGCGTTTGTACTCCTTACTCTTAGAAAAAAAGGTATTATTTATATATTGGTCCAGACTCTAGTGAAGGCAACACAATTATCCCTTACACATGACTTGGTGGGAGACCAAATAACAAGAAACCAGTAAGTAACCAGAGTAATCAGCAAGACATCATCTAGAGCAATCTTGTAAGACCCATATGTTATTACTCTTCTTCTAATTTGTTTTACACTGAAGCAGTATATTATGCATTTAATTCTATGAGAACACATTTTAAACTTATGGCACAGTCAAGTTGCTTTCTGATACAGAAACATTCAATTCAAAACTATCTTTAAGTTAAGATTATAAAATATTTATCTCTTCAAACAAATAAGTTTTCTTAAAAAACATCCAACAAGAGCATTTACCAGGTATCTCGTTAAGTAAGTAAATATTAAATATAGCTGAGACATGGAAGAGATTTTTAAGATACGTTTTAAGATTTTAGAAACAGTGGGTTACATGGTGTTTGTTTGTTTTTCAAATAAATCCCTTAGTAACAGAGGAAAGTACATTTCAGCAATGCTAACTGGCAGTCATATTTCAATCATCACTGCCATATTTGAATCTCCAATGATAAAGGCTAGCAGTTTCTTGTGGACTCATTCCAATTAAGCCAGTAAGTTAGAAAAACAGTCACAGTATTTTACATGCATATAAATGTCAAAAAAAGAGACACTTACTGTTTTGATTTAACAAAAACATACTTTGCATAATCCACTAGAAAACATTCTATTTGATAATGGTCTGCACAGTACATGATCGTCTTAACAACTGCTCTACACCAGCACTTCAGCTCCTCGCTGAAAACCACACAAAGCTGAAAAAGAAACAAAACAATGGGTTCTCATGATCTGAACAAATTATACAGTTTACTTAGTGGAAAAACATGGTACTTTCTTTACAGCCCTAGATTTACTTCGTAAACTGCAAGCATTATGGCTTATGTAGTTATGAAGCTACGTATAAGAAAAATAACCCATACTGATACAGATTTCTATTTCACAGCAACAATTTCAAAAATAAAACAAGCAAAAATTAACACATCTTGGATACTTCTCCCCTAAACCAATGTAAATAACACATTATTTCTTTTTATGTGTACAACACATCAATGATTTTACCTGGTCTTTTTCTAATGTTATTGGCTTTACTTCATCTTCACAAGCTTTGTCATAGAACTGATTCATTTCTGCGTTCAGCTTTTTATACTCTATTTCATCAACTACATGAGGCCCACATCCTTTCATAGTAACCCAAAAGCAACCTGGATCTTCAATCTGGTGTAAAAGGCAGACAAAAATAAATAGTATTATCTCCACCTGAAGTGATAGAGTGATAAGATACTTCTACGAACACCTGGGCAGTAAGTGTAAAAACAAGATGCAGTCTTTACTGAGGTACCTTAAAGTTATGAGAACTAACACTGAACAAACAATATTAGTAACAAAACACCTTTCAGGATCAAAGCTTTAGTTCAGTAACTGATTTCTCAATTTGCCCTCTTCAGTACCACAATACCATATCCATTCTGAAAAACTGTAGCATTATTTAATAGGCTTGTTAACTAAATATAATGAGTTAACTGCAAACACATAAGCTTTTTACTTGAACATTACCTCTGGAGTATGCAAAAAAAACAAACACCAATACATTTTCTTCAGGTTCAGAGGGTCTACAAGACAGCTCATTTAAAATAGAGCCACAGCCTGCTCAACTTTTTAAAGTATTTGCATACCAGTTTTTCAGATAATAAGGGTATTCAACATTTAAGGAAAATAAATTTCTGCATGACGTCCTACAGGATTCAGTAGAACAGCAGATGCTATATTTAAAATTATGCAGGATACCTTCCATTTTAAATTTTAGCTGCATCCTTACTAACTTCTTTTAAGAAGAAATCAAGACAAAAATCAAAGTGAGAAAATTTATACAATCCACATATATCCCTACCACACGTATAAGAAATGACTACTGAACAGAAATAAAGGCATCATCTTATTTGCAAATCTGACTTCCAATTTCGTTGAAATAAACACGGACCACCTTAACTTTCAAAAATATCAGCATACCCGTAATACGAAGACTTCCATAATGCCCAGCCGTTGAGTCTTCTTCAACACTACAAACAAACAAACCCACAAACATTTGGTTGTCTACATTAAAGCTTTCATTTGTTTTGAAGCATAGCTAAGAAATACACATTTTTCCTACTTTTGTACAAAGTACTGCCTTAGGGAACTAATTTACATGTATAAAAGACTTATTACATTGAATCCTAATTGATATTTGCCATCCACTTATTCATATGCTGAAAAGTGATGTGATTGTGTAACAGAAAATACTTGTTATCCTCAACCTGCCTGCAGTCTATAGGCCATTATTTTACTCTCAAAGGCCAAGGCAAGTATTTTGGTTAAAGGACTGCTACAACCTAGCTACGTGGCCAACCGACACCAACACCAGAGAAACTCAAACATTACTGTAAATAAATAAACACAGACATGAGTCCCAGCCTCAATCAGTTTTAATTACCACATACTTCTACTTGTTTTTCACACCATGCTCACGTGGAACAGAATTACGGCACGCACCACCTGCTACATCAAACGATGTACATTGCATTTCACAGACCTGCACATCACAGCACCGCTCCTCACAGCAATGCTCAGCCTGCTTTATAGAAGAATTCACACTGGGGTAAGAGGGTTTAAAAGGAACGATAAGCCAAGCCAGCAGCTTCAGCTTCCAAAGCCACCACTAAAACCGCTCATACAATAACTCCTGCTAAAATACATTGCCCATATCACTCAACCTACCTTCTTTATGTCTCCCTAAGCATAAAGGACATAAGTACCTATCAAGTCACTAAGGCCAATGCACACACAGAAAAAAAGCTGGTTCCCCTAATAAACAGCCACTCCATTACTAAGAGAAAAATAAGGACACAAAGGCTTGCTCCCAGCCATCACCCAACACCACTACTCACCTCAGAAAGACATGGGATTACTGCAAGTGCTACCTTAAGGAGAAGCATACAGTTAAAAGATGAAAGGACACCCTTTTGACAACACAGGTCTGACACAAGCACTCTAAGAGCTGAGCCCTGCCCTGACCTTCCTCTGCCCTCCCAGCCCCACTCCATCTCACAAAGGCACCTCAGTGGCACAAGGAAGCACACAACACAAAAAGTACCAATAAGAAACAGTATTTTCTCCGTTATTCCAATCCTCACTTTATACCTTAACGTTATACTCTCCCTCAGAGATTTAGCCACACAATGCCAGAGCAGCCGCACAGACCTCAGCACTACCACAGAAAGTTCCACGGTCTTCCAGAAGCTCCGCCGCCTTCCGCGCCCACCCCAAAAGGGCGGGACGAGCCCTCAAGCCGCGCATGCGCAGCTCTGCCTTACTGAGGTATGGGGAGGAAGAGGAGGTGCGAAGGCGTCGTCAGGGCTGTAAGCAGCTTTGTTTTCGGCTCGTTAAACGCATTGTTGTGGAAATTATTGCAACAGGTGAATGTCTGGCCTTTTTCCTGGTCGGGCGCTTGGTCTCGGAGGGATGATGCTTGTGTGTGCCGCTGCACGTGCCTCAGGTTGAGTTTAGAAGGGCCGTAGGAGAGCTGAGAGCAGCCGGAGAGGGCAGGCAGGGCTCGTCCTGCGCGGGCTGCCCGTGCTGCCGTATGGACCTGTAATGATCTGTAATGGCCAGAGCCTCTGCGGCAACTCCTTTCCCCACAGAGTCTCTCAGTGGGAAGCACAGCATGTGTTGAAAGACTTATGGAGGCAGAGGGAGATTGCACCTGGTGTTTCTCTCCTGGAATTCAGCTATATGAATTCAGAAGAGCATCTCCAACAGAATATGACTGTTCCATAACATCACAATCTGTGAGAAAGCACCTACATCTCTTTTGATTATTATTATTCACTGCTGTATGCTCACCTTTTCATCCAGGCTTTTTTTTTTTTTTTTTTTTTTTTTTTTTGCTATCTGATATGTCTGTGCAAGGCTGCCTGGTCAAAGTTCCAGCCCAAGGGCAGCAGGTGAACGTGCAGCTGGAATCTGGTCTGTTCTTACAGTGCCTCAGTATTTCAAATTCACAGTTCTAATTGCCACTGTTTTTAACTTAATGCTACAAGATACTTACTGTCTGCGTATTGTAAACCATTTATGTTTCTATTTGACAGTTATCTTCATTTTTAAAGCAAAATAGTATCTTTTCTGTTCTTGTTGTTTGGCCTTCAAGCTCCCCCTACTGGACCCTTTCACTTTTACTAGTGCAAAAAACAAGATCCAGGAGACAATGTGGAGGCAGATTTAAGCAGGTTCAGTATTGAAGTCACTACTCTTTGACATGCAGTAACACTTAGATAACCTACTGGTACAACCAACACAAGGTACAGAACAATAAATAACGATCCAGAAGTCTGTCTGTGAACTGGGAAAGACTATATTGCAAAAATTAAAGCATCTTCTTTATTATCAATTATCATAGAGATATGGTATTTAAATAAATAGCGTGTCTTCTCAGCGTAGGTCATCAAACAGCCCTGCATGGAGTAACTTTGAAGCCAAGATACTCGTGTCAGATGTAAGAAAAATACTGATAGCCATGCTTTTTCCTCTTACCTACCTAGTATTACAGTGCCTGGTGTTAATCTCTAAGAGCTAAAAATCATGTCAGAGGGTAACACTGGATACATTCTTTGCTTCTTCCACTCTCCATTTTTCTAATTTTCCTGTGATCTTCATGTTCTAAAGAATTAGCCAGAATATTGTGAAGAAGAACAGCAGCAAGGGACTTCTAAACCTAGAACCATCTGAGCGTGTTCAATAAGAGAAAAAGCAGGAACATTTTTCCAGTCCAAATGAATGCTACAAACAAATTCAGTAGAAAGAAAATACTACAGAAAATTTTATTTTAATTGAAATACAGAACAAAAGTTGAAACAAAGCTTTCAGAACAGCTTTACTGTCTAATCACAAGTCATCCTTCTTCTTCCAGATGAAGAAGATACCACATCACAGCTCCATATGCTCCACTTACTGCTCCCTGCCCCCAAATAAAACATCAAAGAGTAGCTGACCTTCCTCTGCAGTCTTTAAATCTCAAAGACATGTTAAGAAGCATTATGTGGGACGCTGAAATGTGGAAGTAGTTGTTTTCAAGGCAGTACATTATGAACTGAAGTTTTTGAAATCTTTTTGGAGCTGAAAATTCATTTTTTCTTTTAAAATTACTAGTGACTTGAAGATAAAGGTTAGAATGAATAAAAAGAATGTTTGCACTCAATCTGATAGATGATAGTTTATATCTAAATCATCTCTACCTTTGAAAATTGTGATGTTTTGCATAAATTATCATTAACATAAACTATTTTATCAAATATAAATATTGTTTATTGTAATAAATATTTCATAGAATCATAGAAAGGCTTGGGTTGGAAGGGACCATCCAGTTCCTTGTCATGGGCAGGGCTGCCCCCGCCAGCTCAGGCTTGGGCACCACCAGGAAAACCACAGTGTCTCTGGCAGCTGTGCCAGTGCCTCACCACCCTCTCAGTAAGAAATTTAACATTAGCTAACACATCTATATATATGCACATACAGTTTTTCCAGAATATGAAATATGTCAATAAGAATGGAACAGGAGATTCATTCATTTCTGGACCTATGTTAGAATAGTAAAATAATTCTTCAACTCAAAACATACTTGTTTTGAACATACGATATACTTTAATTTTCAGTGAGAAAAGGACCTCTGTGACCCAACAGACCAGCTGGAATACCACTACTGATATGTAAGTACAGTAAGTTGGTAACTGCTCAGTATAATTGGTATCAAATCACTTTCAAGTTTCTCCAGGTAATTCAATTGGTGATTGTGTTAAATTTTCAGTAGCTTCTGAAGGTTGTAACTGGCACAACTATGCAATTTCAAAGACTCAAAGAATTAGATACACAAATCTAAAACCTACAATCACATGAAATGCTTTGGCAAGGAATATTTAAGTCTACTCTCCTGAATACTTGGAAACTGTTAGGAACGATGAGAAACACAGTGAATATGCATGTAATGAAACATATTCTAGCTTTAAACCAAATACATTATAATCTACTATTGTAGTTTGAACTATCAGTGTTTATCATCAACGGATTCATATGTTTATATTTTGCTTGAATATTAACATAGACAGCAAGACTGTTGGTATTTTTTATTACTATCCTGTGAAATATGCTACCCCCTTTCATGAGATCTTCAACCGTCTTATCTGTTGACAAAGTTATTTTCTTTTCACCTGTATAATCTGGGTCTTCTGGATATAACTCATCACCTGAAGAAAACAAACAGAACAACGTTTAGTTACAGAATGTCTGTCTTATTCTGCAGCTGTTTGATTGAGTGATACTTGCAATTTAAAAAAATATTTATCAGGACGTGAGATTAAGTGGGAATAGATTTGATGAGTAAATAGTCTCTAAACATCTTCATATTTAATATTACAGCCATATATTCCTAAAGTATCTGTCAGTGAACAGTGCACATGTTTCAGAGCTCTTGCTAATGCTAACATGCTGTTATCACAGCAGTTATATCACTACACTGTGATTGTGAAGACTTGTGTGGTTGATTCACTTGCCCTTACAAATGGATAACTTAAGTCAATGAAAATTCTCATTGAAAAGAACTAAATCTGAGTTCTAATATATCCTTCATATTTAAAAAAAGAAAAAAAGTTAACAATTTCTTCATAAATCTGTGTATCAACGGTAACCATATGAAACAATGAAATTAGGGGTAAGAGCAGAAATCACCATGCTGCCCAAGTGGTCCAGGAGCTCATTTCTGACAGCAGCCATTATCAGCTGTATCATAGCAGCTGGAGGATGGCAGAAGAAAAACAGTAGGAAATGAGTGCGATGATGTGACTTCTGAGAGGTTTTTCCCTCAGATATAGACTGGCTTATGAAAAGTGGCTCGAGTATTTATCAATTCCCAAAGTTTTTATATACTTCAAAGAACCTTTATCTGCTTTCTTACCTGGTAAGAGCTGAATTAAGCCATCTGCAGCAGTTAATGTCACAGGCAGCCAACATTCGCATCCTTCTAGAGCT